TCTCTGTCTCAAATATAAATAAAAACATTAAAAAATTTTTTTAAATAAAAAAATAAAAAAATTATTAGTAGTAGCAATTTAAATAATAGTAGTAGTATTTATTTTACTGCCGTCATTCTTCCACCTCTAGTTTACCCCCACATTATCTTATCAGATTGGCAGGCACTCGATCCATGTTAGCAAGCCCCCGGCCACCTCCCCCAATCTCTTCGCAGGTATTTCAGAGAAAGATACCATCTGGACACCCAAAGGTTAATTATAATTGTTGTTGTATGAATGTGATAAAAATAATTCAAGATAAGTGAAGTTTATTATCAGAAATGTACAAAAATGATTAATAACGTATAAATGTAATAAAAAAAAAAAGATGTGCGAGTGATGGTACATTTTTTCACCCCACCGACCACGACAGGTGTGAGTCAAGACCTGCTGGATGTGAGCACTGTGGCCCAGTGGAAGCCCATGCTGTATGCCGTGGCTTTCCTGCACTCCACAGTCCAGGAGAGAAGGAAGTTTGGTCCCCTGGGGTGGAACATCCCCTACGAATTTAATCAAGCCGACTTTAATGCCACTGTGCAGTTCATCCAAAACCACTTAGATGACATGGAAGTCAAAAAGGTACTCTGTGCCCGCCATCTCATGCCACTGGCGATCGTGAGCGTAGGTGCCCGTGCCTGCCCAGCTCTGGGATTGATCCTGTAAGAGTGATGATCTTGTGTGGTCGCAGACATATCTCTAAGTCATGGCAACTGGATCACACTTGCCTCTTGATTTCAGATGAAAACAAATGAACCAATTTTGATTATATTATTATTTCTCAAAACCAAGTTGAAATTACATGTAAGACAACTTGAAAAGCTCTACTGAGGGGGGAAATGGCTGAGAAAAGTTGTTTTCTAAAATCTTAAAAACTGAAAATTAAAGCCTAGATAATTTTTGAAGCATGTGCCTTTAAAAATTTTTTTTTTTTCAACGTTTATTTATTTTTGGGACAGAGAGAGACAGAGCATGAACGGGGGAGGGGCAGAGAGAGAGGGAGACACAGAATCGGAAACAGGCTCCAGGCTCCGAGCCATCAGCCCAGAGCCTGACGCGGGGCTCGAACTCACGGACCGCGAGATCGTGACCTGGCTGAAGTCGGACGCTTAACCGACTGCGCCACCCAGGCGCCCCAGCATGTGCCTTTTAAAGAGCTCCCTCAATCTTCTCAAAAACTATCTTCTTTTTTTCTGTTGAACTTAAAGTATGAAAGCATATAGATGCACCGAAGGAGTCTATTTTAAATCACGAGCATGAGATTTGAGTAATGCTCAGGTTTGTCTGTGTAGATTTCTTCCTGCACATTTAACATTGCTAATAAAGAAGGAACAACTGGCATCGATGACCACAAATACGTAGACGTTCCTTGGTGGGGAAAACCAGGATGAGACCATAGTCAGTTGTACACAGCTTTTCTGTAAATTCCCCCAGGGCGTCTCCTGGACCACCGTCCGCTACATGATAGGAGAGATCCAGTATGGGGGCAGAGTCACTGATAACTACGATAAGAGATTGCTGACCACGTTTGCTAAGGTCTGGTTCAGTGAAAATATGTTTGGATCAGATTTCAGCTTTTACCAAGGATATAATATTCCCAAATGCAACACCGTGGACAGCTATCTTCAGTATATCCAGGTTTGTCAACTTCAGAATTTTATGCATAGAGCAAATATCTGCAGCCTTTTGACCATTTGGATATTTATTTACACTGCAAATACTGCTTTTGAAATAATTTTTAATGGTGATACATACTCTCACTGTAGGTGCCTCCTTCCTATGTTTCTATTCACCTAATGGTTAAAATGTTTGTATTTGTTCTGAGTGTGTATTTTGTGTGAATGCCCTCCCTCCCTTCTCATTTATTCCTCAGTGAGGAAGATTCTTTGGGGATAGGATAGGCCGGGCAGATTTTGAGCTAGGGAAACCACACAAATCCCCTGGAGCTCTCCACTGTGAGATGTGAGACTTCAGGCAGCTGTAACGACTCACCCTGAGACCTCTGTTCCTTAATCCTGGCCCAGTGGAGGGCCTATGAGTATGTTCAGGAACCTGCTTTCCATAAGCACTTCCTGTCTCAACCTGGGCACCGGTGACGTTCAGGGTGGGATTCTTCTTTGCGGTGGGGTATAACCATATAGAGTGGTTAGCAGCATTCCTGGCCTCCCCCCACTAGCTGTCAGTAGCACCCCCACCCAGTTGTGACAATCAAAAATGTCTCCAGACATTGTCCCCTGGGGGGTGGCATCTCCCCAGGCCGAAGAGTACTGCTCTCAGAAGGAATAAGGTAGATTGTGACTGGAAATTTAGGGGAAAAGATCTGATTTGTGTTTCAAGGTGACTACATTTTCTGTCTCTATGCCTTGAATGCTTTATATCATTATGTAGAATTCTCTTTTGCATCTATCTGCGATTTATCTCCAACTGAACAAACTGGAACACGACAGCCCCAAAGGGCTAAATTTGTCAGTACATTTAGAGGTTCTGTGATTTATGTATGTAATGAGTTTATCATATATTATCACCTCTGCACTTTTACTAATTCACATCAGAAAATATATTTGTTTTAACTGTACTATATATGTCTTTAAATCATCAGCACTGAATAGGAAAGTGCCTATGAAGATATAAATTTAGATATGCCTGTACATATCTTTATTTACATATACCTCATTGCCCAGTGAACTTGAGGCTGTTCATAAAAGACATTATGTAAAAAGGAATAAAATAATGGAGGAGAGTGCAGGAACAATATGAAGAAGACAATAATAAAGTTTAGGATAATATTCACATGTAGAAACAAATATCAAATTGTAGATACATTTTCTTTCTTTCAAATAGCTGAGTTCTTTGCCCGCTTTTTCTGCTTCTGATTGTCTCTTGCTGTCTCTGCATTTTTAAAAAATGTTTATTTTTGATACAGAGAGAGAGAGAGCATGAGTGGAGGAGGGGCAGAGAGAGAGAGGGAGACACAGAATCTGAAACAGGCTCTAGGCTCTGAGCTGTCAGCACAGAGCCCGATGCGGGGCTCGAACCTACAAACTGGGAGATCATGACCTGAGCCGAAATCGGTCGCTCAACCGACTGAGCCACCCAGGCGCACCCCCTGCACCAACTTTTTTTTTTTTTTTTTTAAACTGTTTATCTATGTCTCTGCTTTTCCCTCGGACTTGGTTGCTCTCAATATTCCTCTTTGTTCCTAGTCCTTGTCTTTCTCCCTGGGACAGTACAGTTCCTGCTGTCAGCCTTCTTTGGGCCATAATTGCTAAAACTGTCATTATCTGGCATCTCAAAAAACATAGTAACTGTTAGTTATACCACATTTATTTAAATGAGTGGTTCGAATTAAACCAGACCTTCAGAAAACAAAGTACTAATCCGTAGCTCCCTTTTCTTATTTCACATATTCTAAAATAAGACAGTGTCTCTTTGATTACATTTGCCTGAGGTACAGCATTAGAGAACCATCAACTTACTATGTTTCTCATCGTTCATCTTCTTTTGAGACAACTTTTGATTCTTTTCTGGAGAAAGTATTGAGATTGTAGCCTGACACAAATACGAGATCATGTAACTACTCGGCTTTTTTGGGAGGAGATTACTTTATGTTCTTTCTTTATTTTAAAATTCAAATATAGTTGACACGCAATGTTACATTACCTACCTTAATAAAACCTACGTACCTTAATAAAAACACTTGTTTCTTGAGACGGTATAATTTACCTGGTGTTCATGTCGGCCGTCTGGGCTTCCCTGGGGTCTTTGTTGCTCAGAGCCTGCCTTCCTGCGACAGCCCCGAGGTGTTCGGGCTGCATCCCAATGCCGACATTACCTACCAGAGCAAGCTGGCCAAGGACGTGCTGGACACCATCCTCAGCATCCAACCCAAGGACAGCTCCGGTGGAGGGGATGAGACCCGGGAGGCCGTGGTGGCCCGGCTCGCTGACGATATGCTCGACAAGCTACCCCCAGACTATGGCCCATTTGAGGTGAGTTGATGACATCCTGACAAGATGTCAATGGTGGATGTGTCTGTCTTGTTGTGGGAGTGAGGAATAAGGAAGGAGGGCAAAAAGTGATTTTTCTGAAAGTGAAAGAATATTTAAAAACTCACTTCCTGAAGAACCAGCAAAAGAAGTTTTTATTTTTTATTTTTACGTATTTTGTTAAAGAAGTCTTTAATTTTTTTTTAACATTTATTCATTTTTGAGAGACAGAGAGAAACAGAGTATGAGTGGGGAAGGGGCAGAGAGAGAGGGAGACACAGAAACGGAATCAGGCTCCAGGCTCTGAGCTGTCAGCACAGAGCCTGACGTGGGGCTTGAACGCATGTCGTTCAAGTGAGATCCTGACTGAGATGCTTAACTGACTGAGCCACCTGGGTGCCCCAAAGTTTTTAAATCTATAAATGTAATCACTTCAAAGTATAAATGATAAAAGAAACCTGACAAGAATGTTGATGTTCATAACTAGGTTTTAAGTATGTACCAATGGGTTAGGATTGTTTTTCTAGAACTTTCCCTTGAGGTGCTTCACATTATCATTTGTTCAAAGGAAAGTAGTGTATTTTTAGAGTAAAGCACCTGATCATTTATTTTTTTATTTGAGAGAGAGAGAAAGAGGAAGAGAGGGAGAGAGAGCATGAGTGGGGGAAAAGGGGCTGAGGGAGAAAGAGAGAGAATATCAAGCAGGCTCCATGCTCAGTGTGGAGCTCAATCCCATGACCCTGGCATCTTGACCTGAGCCCAGAGCAAGAGTCAGATGCTCAACCAACTGAGCCACCCAGGCACCCCAAGCACCTGATCATTAAAAAAAATGTTGCATAACATAATGCACACCTTAAAATTCCGGGCTTCTTAATTTCAGGGAGCCATATTTATATCATTAATGCAATGCAGCTTCACACGTTTTGAAAATTAATTTGTCTTTTTTAAGATGTAAGTAACTTGTAAGCAAAATTTATGAGTAGGAAAGTTAATTTTTTAGGCAGTTTAGCAAATGTTCCTGAAAAGATTTACCCTGAAGACATTTTTAAATCTTGGATAAGAACACAGGTGACTCACTTACTTTCCACATAGTCGTAATAGATGACCCAGACTAACCGTGTGACTCTTTTGTCACAGGACCATCATGTTCCTTTATATATTGACCTTTTCTACCTGGTTTTCTGACAGGAATCTGCAGCATTTTGTTTCTTTAGCATCCTATTCTTTTCCACAAAGCATGTCCTTTTGGTTGCTGGTGCTATAGACTGAACTCAAGGACTTATTGCCAAGGGAATAATTTCCCCTGGAAAAAACTGATCACTTGCTTGGAGAAAATCAATACTCTTATCAGCTTTCATAAGCACCTCTCATTGTAGTATCAGGAAAGAGGTCATTCATATCTAACAGTGGTTGAAATATTTATGAAGCAATAAAAGTATCTAAAAATATTATAACAGTAACATAAATAACTGCGGTAACTAATGGGGTTTAGGAGAGTCCGCTCCCTTTGGCTGACTTTGTCGATGCTGCCTGAGGATAAAGCAACGCGGCCCAGCAGGGCAGCTGATCGATCCATAGGAGAGTCTCAGTAAATACTTGTAAGATGGGAATGGATGGCTGGGTGGGTGGGTTGGAGGAAGAACGGATGAATGCTCTGATGGAAAGCACAGAAAGCTTTTAGAACAGAAGCCTAGTCTTTTGAAGCAGCCAGCAGAATGGTTGTGCATGTGTACCTGTCTGCTCGCGTGTGTCTGTGTGTGTGCTTGCAAGTCTTAGGCAGGCAGGTAAGTGAATGTTTCCCAGTGAGTGCAATTGCCATTTGGAAGGCTGTGTGGTTATGGTCATGTGTTTCTCTTCTACTGTGAATGAATGGCTGCCTGTCCTCTCCCACATGGGATGAAAAATTGGCCGGTCATCTAACAGATGTTTCCTTTTATATTTCTTCTTTGTTTTCTGGCAGTGAAAAAAAAAAAAATCTTAACCATTGATGGGATTGTAAGATTTGGGGTCTTTTCGGCAGCCCCAGGGTACCAGTTACATACACGTTTGTAGTGTCAAATTTTTAACACATGTTCAATGTCTCCATGGCAGGTGAAAGAGAGGCTGCTAAAGATGGGGCTGTTCCAGCCCATGAACATCTTCCTCAGGCAGGAGATAGACAGAATGCAGAGGCTGCTGACTCTGGTCCGCACCACCCTGACGGAGTTGAAACTTGCCATCGACGGCACTATCATCATGAGCGAAAATCTACGAGATGCACTGAATTGCATGTTTGATGCCAGAATTCCTGCTCAATGGAAGAAAGTATGTTTTAGTCCGCTCTTATTCCACCTAATCACTTTATTGTTGTAAATAGCTGTGATTGGCAGGTGGAAAGCTTTTGGAGCGTAATTTACTTAAAAGGGTTCTTTTGTTTAGGGACTAATCCCCTTACTGGCTTGTATTTTGGGAGCGTAGGTAGGGAAGGAGACTATTTAGCATCTCCCACATATCAGGCACTCTGCTAGGCCATTGCATGTGTTATTTCATTTACATTTTGCATTTATTGCCCTCATTTTGCAGGTAAAGAATGTGAAATTGGGAGATGGCTAAGTCTTTTCCCAGATCACACACCTAAGAAGTCCAAGAACCAGAATTCAAAGCCCATGATGTTAGATTTATAGAAAGAAGTGTTCCTACACACACACATGCACACACACACACACACACACACACACACACGCACGCACCAAAGAGAAACATTTTTCCCTGCTCTGCCTGGAGGTAGTGAGAAGTATATCTCCAGGTAACAAGAAAATGATTTAACAATATGCTTACTGATCACATGCTGGTGCTTGTGCTAAATGACAAGATGTGCTTTTGGTAAATACTTGTCTACTTGGAGTAGTAAGAGGAGTACCTGAGTATCTTTACCAAGCATTTCATGCATTGTGGGAGGTTATAAAGATTTGGGGGTGTGGCAGGAGGACTTGAGAGGGCAGGAGGCAGGGGCCAGTTGTAGGGGAATATACGGGAGGGCAACATCTAGAAAAGGGATTGGGTCATGCAGTGACTGGACCTTTGGCCTTTTGGAAGCTGCTCGGGTAAATGGGAAGGTGAGACGTGACAGGGTTAGGACTGGCAGCCTCTCCCAGAAGAGACTCACTTAGCGCTGGCACTCAGACATCTCACCCAGGGCTTTAGAAACGTAGGATCAGCTTTGCCCAGACTCCATCGTATCCTCACCTCTAATGACTTCGTTCCCAAAGGCAGAGAGTTTTCTATCTGGACTGACTTTCCTCATTGGCCGGTGACAGAGGGAGAACCTTCCTGGTCACTGGCCATTGCGGGTTCATTCCTCACTGAACCAGCCCTCTCCACTTGGTCAGCACCTAGAAGGCTCTGGAACAGGGATCCTTGCCACGAGGCACCTTCACATAAACAGTTCCCCGTGCCTCACGTCAAATGTCGTATAAACACATCCCTTTCAGTTAACATGTCTATAAAGATAGGATAGAATGAGTTACCTAATTTTAAAGTGTGGTCTTTTTGGGGCGCCTGGGTGGCTCAGTCGGTTAAGCGTCCGACTTCGGCTCAGGTCATGATCTCACAGTCTGTGAGTTCGAGCCCCGCGGCAGGCTCCGTGCTGATAGCTCAGAGCCTGGAGCCTGCTTCGGATTCTGTGTCTCCCTCTCGCTCTGACCCTCCCCTATTCATGCTCTGTCTCTCTCTGTCTCAAAAATAAATAAACGTTAAAAAAAAATAAAAAATAAATAAAGTGTGGTCTTTTTATGCAGGTTTGTATTCTATTCAACTTATTATCAGTCTTTGGAATCTCATTATCTCTTGAAAAATAGGCAAATTAAGTCTTAAGAATTTGAAATTCAAGTGGTATATATCTACATAGGTTGATCACTACATTTATTCATACATAAAGTATTCCAATTATAATAAAATGATATAAAACATGATTTGGAGATACCTACCAGGACAGCTGCTGATAACACTAAGGACATAACCATCCCACTGTAATAATAGAAGCTCCACATGTGAATTCAGGCAGCATGTCACAGGCAATGAATGCAATTAATTTGTTGGTGGTAAGGGACCCGTGTTTCCGTTTCTGCTCCTTCATCAGAGGAAATAAAAGTTCATTCTAAGGGACAAGAACTTCAGAAAATAACTGTTGTTTGCCTCATTAAAAATGAGAAGTGGAGAAAGGTACGATTTATCATCCACAGAATATATTTTAAAGGGGCCACAAGCACATTTATGGAAATAGAAATCCTGTTTTGCAGTGTATCTATTAAAAATATAACCTGACGGGGAAAGAAAAAATGTAACCTGAGGAAAAAATAGTGGAAACCTGTTTAATTCAATTAATTGTTTTCATTACTTTATAGCAGAATTGACAGTGAATATATTTGTACGTGGAAGGTGATTCTGTTGACATCAGAACCTTGAACAGCATACTGAGCGCTGAATTGATTTGGTATTCATGGGATCATTAGCTGATTCTGTTGTATCTTAATATCAGTAAGGAGGAAGAATAATTTGAAAACTTAACTGTCAAAACCCAAGGGAAATTCCTGTCTTAGGGACTTCTAAATTCTAAAAGTGAAATTGATATTTCATATTTTCTTTTTCTGTGAACATAGCTAGTTACACAGCAGAATTTGATTATTTCAACATATGCATTTCAGGCATCCTGGGTTTCAAGTACCTTGGGTTTCTGGTTTACTGAGCTTATAGAAAGAAACTGCCAGTTCACCGCCTGGGTTTTCAATGGCCGACCCCACTGCTTCTGGATGACAGGCTTTTTTAACCCCCAAGGATTTTTAACTGCAATGCGTCAGGTAAGAGCTCCCATTTGCACTTGTTGTGTTATTATGGTTTTCTTCTACAAGGTTTTCTTCTGCCAGTATAGTTTTAAAGACTACACTGACACAGACAATGGCTGTCTCTCTTTGGCCCCAGCAATGACATTGTCCTGAAAGTAAATACAGCAACTTGTTCTCAGGCCGCTAGGTTGAATTTCAGAGTATTTATTTGGTATTTTTATATTTGATATGATTTGATATTTCTTTTTTAAAGTATAAGTGCTTAAATTAGGACACGGGTACTGTTTATGACACAATCTTTTTTTTTTTTTTAATTTTTTTTTCAATGTTTTTATTTATTTTTGGGACAGAGAGAGACAGAGCATGAACGGGGGAGGGGCAGAGAGAGGGAGACACAGAATCGGAAACAGGCTCCAGGCTCCGAGCCATCAGCCCAGAGCCTGACGCAGGGCTCGAACTCACGGACCGCGAGATTGTGACCTGGCTGAAGTCGGACGCTTAACCGACTGCACCACCCAGGCGCCCCTGACACAATCTTTTTAAGTACAATTCTGCTTCCTTTGAATTAGGGTAATCCTGGGTTCCGCTTTGATCCCCGTGATGCTCTTTATGTTAAGATAAACCTCTAATTGTTCCCTTCGTCCTTTGCTCTTGTTCTTGTCCTGAGCAGGAAATAACTCGGGCCAACAAAGGCTGGGCCTTGGACAATATGGTGCTTTGCAACGAAGTCACCAAGTGGATGAAGGATGACATTTCTGCCCCTCCCACAGAGGGTGTCTACGTCTACGGCTTGTATCTTGAAGGTGCAGGCTGGGACAAGAGGAACATGAAACTCATTGAATCCAAACCAAAAGTGCTCTTTGAATTGATGCCCGTCATAAGGATTTACGCAGAAAACAACAGTAAGTTGTCTTACGCATTCAGGGACGGTGGGCATTATCAGACTGGATAATGTTATAAACACAAGATCTCATTATTCTTGCTATCATGTCATGAGGACTTTATTATTTTATCAACTAGCTTCACATTCACCCCATGTTTAATGAGTACTTACTGGCTGCTAGGCACTATTTTGAGTGTTATAGGGGAGACGATGGTTCTAGATAGTTCTTTCCTATCTATTAAAGTAGGTGAAATATGCATGGATGCTCATGAAACATTAGCTTATGAGATAAGCAGCAAGTGTTTGGAGGAGTTAACAGATGGTAGGAAAGGAAGGTGGGTAGGAGTGGGAAGAAGGGGTCAGGGGCGGGGTCTCAGGAGCAGGGTCTGGACAGGGGGTGGGAGGATGGATAGGATGAGGTGGGGCAAGTGGTGGAAGGAAGGCTTTCTCGGCAGGACTTCCTTTCTCGGAAGGAAGGCTTTCTCGGCAGGCCCACCGGAGGTGCCAGCTCTACCAGCTTGGAGAGTTAAGCCAGGTTGGAAAAGCCAGATTGAATTCAGGGACGTGTCGCTTCACCCAGTAGCTGGCGGTAAAATGCTGGATTCGTATTTCAGCCTGTGAACATAGCACGTCTATGAAACACACGTTTTTCCGCTTTGGCAAAGTTCTGTTTGACAAGTCTAAAAATACCTAAACTGGTTTCCACCATTGGCCTGATGTGTTCTGGAGGCTTTCATTACATTTTACTCAGCTAATATCTCCTCGGCGATAACCACCTTTCAGCCCATGTGACCACTGCTTGTTTATTTCATTTTTTTTAAGTTTATTTTATTTCTCTAATAAAAATTGCATATACTTAAGGTGTAGATAGAACATGATGTTCTGATATACATATATGGTGAAATATATGGTGATATATGGTGATATACATATATGGTGAAATGATCACTAGAAGCCATACACTCTGGAGGTGGCCATGGCAGTGGAAGCCAAGGAAGTACTGATTTTGTGACCAAAACACAAAAGATTTGTCTTTAAACAAGGAAGGAGAAGACAGTTTCTCCTGGAAAGATAGCTTCTAGTATCCCCATCCCTTAGATAAATACCACATTTGGAAACATGGGTGAAGGGAAGAGAGTTTATAAACTATGAATATTTCTTTTTTAAGCAAATATTTGCTGGGTGCCTAATATATGCCAGCCACAATCTTAGGTGCAAAGGTCACAAAGATAACGATGAACCAGATCCTGCCCAGAAGGGATTCCGTCTAGTGAGGGAGACTTACAAGGAAATCAATAATTAAAATAGAACTTGACACATGTTAAGATAGAGATACGGTCAGGATGCTCAGGGAGCCTAGAAGGAGTACATGACGATGCCTGCGAGGTCAGTGGAGACTGCTTTTGAGAAGTGCTTTGAGGCTAAGAATGAGTGTAAGAGAAGTTGGCGATAGACTTTTCTTGGCTAAGGCAAATAGCGTTAGCTCGCTTGGTCATTCAGTGAGTATTTATGTGGTATTGGCCATCTGCCATGCTCACTCAGGTGCTGGGGGTGCGACAGTGAAAAAAGACCAGGCACAATCCATGTTCTTAAGGAACTCCGTGTCAAGGAGGGAAGGGCAGCCAAAAAGAGGCAAATACAGTTGATCCTTGTTACTCATGGATTCTGTGCTTATGAATTCACCTCTACTTGAAAATTTGTTCGCGATGCTTGTGGCTTGGTCATTTGCAGGCATGCACAAAGCAGCAAAAAAATGTGAGTCGCCCCACAGGCATGTCCCCACCTGAGGTTGAATAAGGTGACACTCTGCCTCCTTGATCCACTCATGCTGTAAACAAGTGTCCTTTTTGTGGTCTATGTAGTATTACATTTTCCACACTTTTGTACTTTGCACTGTTTAAGGTGGCCCAAGCACAGTGCTGAACACCAGGGCTATCTGCTGTTCCTCAGCGCAAGAAGGCTGTGATGTGCCTTATGGAGAAAATACGTGTTAGGTGAACTCCTGAGGTGAGAGTTCAAGTGCCGTGAGTCCAAAGCCAGTGAATCAATAATATATGTTGGAAAGATATCTTTAAACAAACACACGCCTAAAATAAGGCTATGTATTGATGGGTTGGCGAAGCTGTCGTGACCAGAGGCCGGCAAGAACCTGCCCTGCCTGTATTTCCTCTTGGAGCAGTGGTTCAGTAGAAGTCCCATGATAATGGCAGTTGACTATAAATGGACATACTGGCTTTAGACAGCTCTTTTTTATGAAGAAAATACACACACGCTAGGCCAGGGAGCTGCTGATTTAGGGGCCGGGGGAGAGACTTGTGAGGAAAGAACACTGAGCCGAGATTCAGCTGACAGAGGGCAGCATGCTGATGTCCAGGAGCAAAGGGGGGGGGGGTGCAAATGCGTGAGGTAGCAATGGATGTGCTGTGTGTGAGGAGGAGAAAGATGGCACGTGAAGGAAGAGGGAGCCCGTGAAGAAACCGGGGCATCAGGAAAGAAGAAGGAAGGTGCTCGGTAGGGTCCTTGATGCACGGTGTTGCTCCACGTACCCTGAGTGCATCCGACAGGATAAACGTGTCTGGTTGAGCCCGGGCAAGCGCGCTGCCTGCGGCTTCGTATTTATTGGGTTGTGTCAAGACCTGGCTGGGGCCATGGTTAGTTTAGAGAAATAATCAGTACGTGTTCTTTTACCCAAAATTAGTATTTTAGAAACTTTGCTTTATCGCATCCCTGGATCTAGTCAACCAGTTGCAAAAACATTTCCCGTAGAAAGTAAAAGAAAAATCTTCCTCACGTTCAGTCAGGTGTTACTTTTATACATCTTGTGACTAAGCGGTGAAAGCCCATTGCAACGTGACTTTGAACATCTCAGCAGGGTATTAATAAAATAATTTTATAATACAGGCACTTCTTTATTATTTAAGAACACATTTTTATAGAAGGATTGTACTCACCCTGCTGGGAATTAGTCAGCAGTGAGGTTCATTAGCAGCAGGTTAAGAGAGAAAATAAAAAGCAAGGAAAAAGTGACTAACTTAAAAGTGCTAAAAAAAAAAAAGAGACAAATTTTCATTCTTGTTTCTTTTTTTTTGGTTTCAATAGGAGTTGGTGCAGACTTGTTTTGCCAAATAGCTTTGTTGCCAGAGAAGTGTTTTTTAGTGATGAAAGGCTAAAAATTCCATTGCTATTTTCATATTATAAATCTAATTTTCATTTAATTTTGATAACTGAATAAGGCTCCAATTGAGATAAAGAGGTGTAGCATCACTAAAGACCAAAGGACACTCCAAAAATACAGTGATTTAAAGTTAAAATTCTTATAATAAATTGTTTCCATGTTAACATGAAGGGCAATTTTCAGTTTAAATAATTCATCATTGAATTTTCCATACAAGACTGGTTTGTTTTAGAAAGAAGTCTAGGTATTTATTTTGACTTTAGAAATTGAGCAATGTGTCCCCAAATGCTTATTTTATTCATGTTTCTTGTTAGGACATCATGAGAAAGTCACCCAAAAAGTGTGAAATTCACCAGAAGGGCAAAGCTTCCCACATCCACTCAGGCTCCTTTGCCCTCAAAGGAAATTGAAAAGAGGCAGACACGGGGAAAGAAATGTACCTTTGGCCAGTAGGGTGAGAAGGATCTCACCCTAGGTGAGGACACCCTAGGTGTCCACAGATAATGAGGAAAAAAGTGAAAAGTGTTTCTAAGAATATCTTTTGACCCATCCTGATCCAACAGTGTGCAGATATGGGGCTGGGGGTGGGAATAGCCCCAGGGGGTGACCGGGAGGTGGAGACGTCCTGACTCTTGAACCCCATGCATTTGATCCACCTTCTGTGTGTAAACTTGGGACTCAGTTAACGTCATGAGGAAGATGAGTCTGGGAAATTTGTTTCAGTGAAAAGATAAGAATACACGTATATGTGCGCATGAGTGTGTGTGCGCACGCATGTGTGTGTGTGGAAAGAGAGAGAGGAGAAACCTGACACATCTTGGGTGCCTACTGCATTCTGGGCATCATACTATGCCAGTCGTTCTCATATATTAACTAACTTAATCTTTACAAGTCTGTAAGGTATATCATGCCTAATCTGCAGATGGGGAAATTAAGGTGTAGAGATGTATGTAATTTGCCTATGATTTCCAGCTACCAAAGCTGATGTCAGAATCATGTTTGTTTGTTGTGGGATGAATGCAATCCTCTGGCAATTTCTGTGGTTGATGTTCTACTTCAGACTATGCATTTAGGGAGTCTCTGTGTTGTCAGGGATGAAGCTTCAAAATGAAGGCTAAATTAAAGGGTGCCTGGGTGGCTCAGTCGGTTAAGTGTCCCAACTCTTTTTTTTTTTTAATTTTTTTTTTTCAACGTTTATTTATTTTTGGGACAGAGAGAGACAGAGCATGAACGGGGGAGGGGCAGAGAGAGAGGGAGACACAGAATCGGAAACAGGCTCCAGGCTCTGAGCCATCAGCCCAGAGCCCGACGCGGGGCTCGAACTCACGGACCGCGAGATCGTGACCTGGCTGAAGTCGGACGCTTAACCGACTGCGCCACCCAGGCGCCCCAAGTGTCCCAACTCTTAATTCCAGCTCAGGTCATAATCTCATGGTTTGTGAGATTGAGTCCCTTGTCCATGCTGTCAGCATGGAGCCTGCTTGGAATTCTCTCTCTCTCTCTCTCTCTCTTTCAATAAAGAAACATTAAATGAGGACAGCTTCTTTACATTTTGAAGTCATGTTTATTTTTCTCAGGTACATGGTGAAGTAGACAGAGAAAAAGTCACTGCCCATTTGGGTGGGAGCTCTCACTCCCTGTGGCTCCCTCCCTGCATGCTGCAGGCTAAAGGTGGTCACCTCCCTTGCCAGAGGGATGGGCACAGGTTCTCAGATAAAAGACAGCCTGCATATTTGCATTGCATTTCTGGTTTTATTACCCTGGTAATTAGTCACGTGGCTTTGGAGGCGTCTCAAAGATACCGTATATTGAAGTCACGTATCTAGTTATCTCTGATTCATTTTCACACCTTCCTGCAAAGACATAGAGGTAGACACACACACATATTAATCCCAACTATTGCTGAGATTAAGGGCCTAGGCTCTTGAGCCATTCGGGCCAGGTTTGATTCTTACCCTATCACCTACAGCTTCGTAACCTTGGACGGATGGCTCACCTAGTTAGGTTCCAGTTTTCTCATCTGCAAAATGGATTTAATAATGGTACCTGTCCCATAAGTTTGTTAAGAGCATTAAACCAACAATGTCTAGCACATAGTTATCATACAATAAATAATTTTGCTGTGACTACCGTTATTAATATGTTAACTCACATGTTTGTTGTGGGATGAAAAGAAATACATCAAGAGTGCACTATTTAATCACTTAAATGTTATTTGCGAAGAGGAGTTGAATAAAGGACTGATTTAAAGGTGGTCTAGGGAATCTCTATGTGACTTGGTTGTTTTAGATATTAGAGGAAACATATGGTATAATGGTATACTCGCATTTGGATGAAAAATGTAGGCTAGAGAAGGGAGTGACATAGTCAGAAAATAACACTCCCTCAAGGTGTCTTTTTAAAACCCTTTGGATCTTAAAGCATAGAGCTCACCAATTTAGACAGCCTCTTTTCTTTACTCCTCCTTTGGGAACCCTGAGGCTTCAAACCCATTTAGCTGATTTGTTCTGCCTACCTAGCATGTGTATTTTTGTCTTCTAAGTTATTTGTCTAACTAGGGCTAATGGTTTTGAATCCTCCGTTTATGTGGTTATGTAGTGTCTGTCAGCACTTTGACTATGAAATTATATTTTTGGTGGTTTCTCATCCTGCTGAAGAAGTTTGCTACATACTGTGACTAGGCATGGGCACCATCGGTTCTGAAGCAATTAAAAATAAATAAGATTGGATAAATAGATCAAAGAATTGTTTTTCACCTTATTGAAAAGAATGCTATTTTTCCCCAATCTTTCTTTTCTTTTGGGACTAAAATCCAAGTAGTCAAACACTTCCCAAGGTGTAAGTATTATAATTATCATTTGGTACAAATGCGAGACTTCAATGCATTAGTTACTTCAGGATTTATGATGTTAGTCAAATTTGCATCAAGAAGAACGATATTTAACATTTATTCCACATTTACAGATCCCAGGATTAAAGGATTTAAATCTCTCCATCGGTATTATTGGTATTAACTACACTCCATGACTTCACTGTCATTCACTTATTTCATCAGAATTTTTCATATATTTGCCTACTAATTATATATATTAGTTCTACTGATCATTATATACTAATGATATTCTCATGATAATTTAAAAAATAACGCTGTTACATTAATGTAGATTGTTTCTAATGATAAATTTCATGGGATGAAGCAAACACATAGTTTTAAATTACTGTCAAATATCTATGAGTTTGTTTTAGAACAGGGTTCCTCGGCCTTGGCATTATTGACATTTCTGGTCAAGATGCCCTTTGTCGGGAAGGGTGGTCCCGCGCATTATAGGGTCCTGGCAGCATCTCTGGTCTCTACCACTAGATGCCAGTATCAGTCCCACAGTTGTGTTAACCAAAAGTGTCTCCAGATGTTCACAAATGTCCCCCGAGAGTAAAATAATCCTTGGTTAAGAATCACTGCTTTAGAATGCCTACTTTATATTGAAACTTATGTATAATACTATCATATTCCAGTGTTTAACATCTCCCAATAAAATTAATTATAGTGGAGTTATCAAAACACATGGCATAGAGGCGCCTGGGTGGCTCAGTCAGTTAAGCATCCAGCTTCAGCTCAGGTCATGATCTTGCAGTGAGTTCAAGCCCCGCACAGGGCTCTGTGCTGACAGCTTGGAGCCTGGAGCCTGCTTCGGATCCTGTGTCTCCCTCTGTCTCTGCCCCTACCCCACTCATGCTCTGTCTCTCTTTCCCTGTCTCAAAAATGAATAAACATTAAAAAAAATTAAACACACACACACACACACACACACACACACACACACGGCATAACAGGTTGAATATATTATTGGGTCAAAAAATAAGATCTTAATTTCAGGTAGTGGCTTGCTTTTGTAATTTGTTAGAAAAAGATAAATTATTGAGCAAGTTAGTTTTGGGAAATAAATTCAGTGACTTCGGTACGTTAACATTGCATGTAGAGAGTTACTTTTGCCATGTTTCAGTGCCCACGTGTGTCACACGAATTCACCAAAGCAAAGTTGTCCTCTTAGTTAAATGTGTTTTCATCTCAATGCTTCTATGAGGGTCATTTATAATACTGGCCTTCCAGAGGAGTACAAGGATGGGTGCAGACAAAGTGTTTGTGCTGAAACAATTTATAATCTAGAAAAGAAGAGGAAATGATGTACTGCTTCCTGAGATGGATGTTTTGAGATGTGCAGATAAACTACGCGAGCAGTGTAGATTTAACAAGGAGCTGATGCACTTGAATTTCAAGGCTACTCAATGCAGAGGCTTCTTCCAAAGCCTAATTTAGTATTTTTACGTTATGCTTTCTTAAAGCCCTGTGCCTCTCCCCCTCCACTGTCTAAGTATAAGGACCCATAAGACCAGGATCTGTCCCTGATCATGGGGTGTCCAAGACCGGAGAGAGTGAGCCTTTGCTTAGGGATGAATGCATTAGAAAGGATCTTTGCAAGGTGGACGTACGTAGGTTGCCTTTCCTTGCATGTGTAGTTTTGAAAACTCCATGTGTTCATCTACCCCAAAAGGATAGATTGCATCTCACGGAGCTGAACTGTATCACAGCTCTGCTTCTCAGCCACTTCTGTTCCTCTGCACCCGTGGATAATCCCCAGCCCGTGATAGGGGTGGGGAACATCCTCTGTCCTGCGATTTCACGTGTAGTTTAGACTGTGGCACAGAGCGTTGAAGGCAGGATTTTGAAATAATAATCATAATATAGTGAAACCCTAGTGAGCATTGGTGCTGGACATTGATTAAAGGTGGCAGGTGCCTCGTGCCAAAGGCAAGCCATGAAGGGAAAATGGAGAGAGTGTGCACGCACAAGATTTGGTGGGGAAGTAAAGGAGAAAGGGTGGAGGGGGCGTGGTGAATTGACAGGTGGGAAGGAAGCAATTGAAGGTTCATGGCCATAGCGAGCGGGCAGGTGTTACTTTCAAGGACATGGGACAAAGGGCCAGCAGGGTACCTGAAGACGCCTGGGTGTTTGTCATGCCTGCGGGAGACCCGCAGTTGTGTCTGCTTCACATCTAGGGGTTGACTGACCTCGGAAAGAATTTCTCTCATTCTACCAGACCTTTGGAATGATCTGTAGAATGTGCAAATTTGGCTCTGTGCTGTTTGGGCTGCTTAAATTAAAAATTCACCAAGTTTTGTTTTTGTTTTTGTTTTTGTTTTTATGAAATTTTTTGTAGCTTTAAGAGATCCTCGGTTTTATTCCTGTCCCATTTACAAGAAGCCAGTCCGAACGGACTTGAACTACATCGCCGCTGTGGACCTCAGGACGGCCCAGGTCCCTGAACACTGGGTGCTCCGTGGGGTTGCCCTGCTCTGTGATGTCAAGTAATGTGGGGTGTGCCCCCCACCAGTACTTCAGAAAATGCAGGATCCGAATTATCGTAACCTTTACTTTTCTGTGAGTGCTGGACAGTTTTTAAATCAGGTTGATCATGTAGTTCATGAGCTGGTTAGGTTTTCCCTGCTCATTAGTTGGATGCTGAATTACGTGTTACCTGCTTCATCCTTAATGACCAATCGCTGTGTTTGTTGAAGAGTTATTTGGTGATTGAAAAGCAAAATTTACAACTTCCCAGTGACGTGCGGCCCTCAAATCCACAGTAATACATTCAGCTCTAAAGCCTCAGTAGGTCAAGCAGACATTTCCTTGAAATGAAGGGATTCTTCTTCTGCTAATGTGGTTCCAAGGTAACACTAGGTTTGTGCTGACTTTGCTTCCAGGGCCTTTCGCTTTTGCATCAGGTTAAGAGATTTGTTTTCATGGCTCCAAGAGCCAATTGGAAAGACCTTTTTAAAAATGGAAGGAAATAGAAGGATGGATTAAGAATGTGAATAGAGGGGTGCCTGGGTGGCTCAGTCGGTTATGCATCTGACTTCTGCTCAGGTTGTGATATCACAGTCTGTGAGTATGAGCCCCACATCAGGCTCTGTGCTGACAGCCTGGAGCCTGGAGCCTGCTTCGCATTCTGTGTCTCCCTCTCTCTGCCCTTCCCCCACTTGTACTCTGTCTGTCTCTCTCTCTCTCTCTCTCTCTCTCTCTTTCTCAAAAATAAACATTAAAAAATTAAAAAAAAAGAATGTGAATAGAGTAGACAATTCATGTAATCCTATTGAATGAATGTATAATGTTCAACTCCGCTGATAATTAATCATGAGATACTAACTGATATTTGTTATAATAAAAAAAAGCTGAAAGTGAATCATGGTGGGGTCCTTGTAAACGTGATGCACTCAGAGATTCCTAGAGTGATGTAAACCAACTCATCCTTTTTGTAAAACAAATAACCAAGCACAGAAAGAACCATAAAAATGTTCACAGGCTTTGATCCGTATTTTCTCTCCTGGAAACCTATACCAAGAAAACAATTTAAAAGACTGAAATAAATTACATATCAAAATGTCTTTAGTAACAGAAAACAGTGGAAACGCCCTACATGTTCACTAATAAGCCTATGCTTAAGGAAGTTAGGGGGTGTGAGGCCGCTGTGAAAAACAGGATAGAAGGTTTCTTAGCAGGCAAATGGTAAACATGTACTCTGAAGTGGAAGATACAGCTAGGAAAATATCAGGTTGACTCGAAAAGGTATAATGATTGGAAAAAGAAACAGACAAAAGACAGAAGTCAGGTGGTGTGTGTGGATGCCACATGGGCTTTTATTAATGAAGAAAATGCTACCTGAGGAATTGTTCACATATTTCTATTTTTAAATCCTGGTTATAAAGGAGGAACTGCCTCATCTATAACTTATTGACTAGAAACTTGGTCAGTATTAAATTAGAATTGCGGTCTACAAACGCTTGGTTGACTTCAGGTCCGCCTAACTTCACGTTTCTGGTGGTAAAGGGTTTCGAGGAGACCGGTGTGTGTCCCTCTCACGAGGCCTGGCTCTGTGACAAGAATCATCTTATGCTAACTATGGTCAGAGCTGGGCCCGAGGGGTTCAGGTGACACCCACCCATCCTGGACGATACCGTTTTCATTTGAACGGCGTCTTTTGATCTGAATTAATATATATGAGTTGATTGTGCGAATTGTGGTGAAACAATCATTTTATTTTGAAGAACACATAATGGAAATGTAGAAATGATGTGAGTTAAGAGAAAGCTGTTAATGGGTGTCTGAATTGTATTGGCTGTTTCTTACAAGGGGGCAAGAGCCACTGAGTATCCAGAAATAAGCTTTCAAAACCAGCTTTCTTACCAAGTGAGTTGAAAATGCATAATTCATCTAATTTCGTGATACACCCTGTAGGTGTGTACGTACAAGCCTTTGAGACCCAGAGTAGAAAAGGACACTGTGAACACAACTAGAAATTTCTAGGGACTGATTCGACAAGGTATGTTGCCGAAGCAGTTGAAGAGCAATGAAGCCCCTTTCTGGTCCACCTCCATCATCTCCCACCCACCGAAGGGTTCTCGGCGTCTGCTGAATCCGGGTGAAGGGAGGACCACCCCACCGGGTCTTCCGGGTGATGGAGAGAGTCGCTGACTTCTTGTGTGAGCAGAAAGCACAGCGAGTGTCTTGCTGCCATTGCAAAGTGGTAGAGTAGTCGTTTTCATCATCTCAAAATTGATTTATTTACAAAATTTCTTGGGGCGCCTGCGTGGCTCAGTTGGTAGACAATCCAACTTCGGCTCAGGTCATGATCTCACGGTTCGTGAGTTCGAGCCCCACATCAGACTCTCTGCTGTCGGTGCAGAGCCCGCTTCAGATCCTCTGTCTCCCCTCTCTCGCCCCTCCCCCACTTGAACACACACACACACACACACACACACACACAGTCTCTCTCTCTCTCTCTCTCTCTCAAAAATAAAAAAAAATTAAACTTTAAAAAGTATAAAAAAATTAGAAAAAATTTTCTTAAGTGTGTCTGATAACTAGGTTGTCAGGCACTCTGGTGCACGCAGTGGGGGGATGATGGTGGGGAAAAAACGGTCACATTCCCTGATTTCGTGGACTTCACGCAAGAAGACCAGACACAGAAAATAGGTGATTATTCAGGTCCGTAACTTCACGTGATCTCAGTGTATGATTGTATAATATGACACGTGTGTGAGGGACAGAGAAGAAGGTATGCAGATTGGGAGTTTAGCACTATGAAGGGAAATGCCAGATGTTATGAGTGAGAGGAGCCGGAGGGACCACGGCTCTTCAGGTGTCGTGGATTAGCAGGCAGAAGCCGCACTGCAGCGTCCCCATTTATTTTTGACTGAGGACACAAAATGTAACAGCAGCAAGGAGCTCCCCTGAGCCGAAGTAGCCACTGTCTGGCATTTCCTGGTCCTCTGGTTCTCCTGTGCGGTTTGCAGCTGCCGGTGACTCCCTCTGTGCAAGTAAGGTCCTTCCAGGATGGAGCAAAAGAGAACACTTTGCCACATTGGAACTGTCCTGTTACGCGTGCTGCTTACATCGCCATCCCCCTTACCTCTGGCTTCTCTGAGCTTCTCTTTAAGGAAATGTTGGCAAGCGTGGAACCAATTCAGCATCAACGAGGCCACGTCCCCATCAGGGGACACGGCAAAGCCACAGCCCGGGCATTCTTGAGCCGCCTCTCTACCACGGATGTTCTTTCCCTGAAGAGACCTAATTTGATGGGGCCACGAGAAAGGGCAGCTCTGGGGAGGTGACATCTAAACTTAGATCTGCAGAAGGGGGAGAACATCTCAGACCTGCAAGTGCTGGGGACTCCTCTCTTGCTCCCTAATGAGAGGAGATGAGCACAGTGCCGGAAGGGAGGATGACAGAAAACCCAGCCTGGAGGGGAGAGCTGAGGAGGGCCGCTCTCTTAATGAAATTTCAAGCCTTGTTTGACTGCTGCCAGCCACAGAGTAGTGACTGATGGAAATCGTGTTTCTAAGTCACTGGAGTGCAAAGGACTTCTTGGTGTTAAATGCTATTTGTGATGGAAAAGTCTTGTAAAGAATTCAACATTAGGAGACAGGATGAGAAAACCACAAATGTTATAGTTAAGTAGCTTGCAGGATTCCCCAGTGTAGACAAAATGCACAGTGTCAGCAATATCTTTTCCAGTGCTAACTTCTGTTCCAGAGTGTAGAATTATAAAAATTTAGATACGTTAATGTATACTGATAATGTAGTTTACAGATCTGTTGCAGCAAAAGAATCTTTAGTAGTGATAAAAAAATAAAATATATATACATGAGCAGTTTTCTCTTGAAGACATTATTTCCCCTCCCCACCCCTAAATCTGCAACATTTTTTTCCCCATGTCTGGCCCCAGTGAGGTCCATAACTACTTTCACATTTTAAATACATTTCTCAAGCAAGTACTCAGGGTGATTTTTAAAAATTACATTGTGCAGCTGATGACTGTTGATGAGTAGCCCCCGGCAACACATCAAAATAATGCCTCTTACAGGTAAACGAATGGTACCCTTATATTCACAATATGGTCCTCCAGATCGGGCAAATGCTTTGGAAGACCAATAAACAAATCGGTAGGTGATGAAAACATGAGGAAATCTTGTAGTTCTGGCTTGTAATTTTTGTAGTGTTTCATTGTAGTAATTTTCAAAGTTTATGCATTCTGCTCAATTGACTGACCTCTGTGGTATCCAACATGAGATGTTGAGCATCCACACATACGTCCACAACGAAACAGGAGAGAATTCAAGGTCAGCTTTAGAATCAGAGATGAGCTTGGCTCAGACCCCGAATCCACGAACATGTTCTTACGTATCTTAAAATGGTGAGTCTAATTCTGTGTTACATTTGAGACAATGAACCTGATCGATGCGAGAGTGGAACATGTTGCCGGGCCAGTTTGCACCCCAGGGGCTTTTCCAGTTCTGTTCTTCTGCCTGGTAAAGCTGTACCGCAGAGCAGCCAGCCAGACGGCACTTGTGGGTTGGATCCTACTCTTTCATTTGGATGAGAAGAAATTAAAATGTAGAGATTCGGTGGGAGGGCAGGAAGCTGAGGGTGGGAAGAAGTATCCTGAGTGGGGTGGGATGGTGGATAAGAAGGAGGGTCAGGTTTCTTTTCCTCGGACATTGTTACAATGTGATTATTAGCAGTCATTCTGGAGATCAAGACAATGAATTAGTAAATGAGCCTTTAAAAACTAGCTTTTTGGGGGCACCTGGGAGGCCCAGTCAGTTGAGTGAATGACTCTTGATTTTGGCTCAGGTTGTGATCTCAGGGTCGTGGGATAGAGCCCCTCATCAGGCTCTGCACTGAGCACGGAGCCTGCTTAGGATTCTCTCTCTGTCTCCCTCTGCCCCTCCCCCCACCTCCTGCTCTCTCTTTCTCTCTAAAATAATAATAATAATAATAATAAAAGCTTTTTTATCCCCTGGATTCAAGTT